CTCCCGCCCGGAGCGCCCGGCTGGGAGACGGGCACAGCGAGGGGACAGGGCTCACCCCCAGCCCGGGCAATTCGGGGGTCTTGCACAACCACGTGTAACGGAAACGGCACTAAATCGGAGCGTTTACGTGGAGATTAAGGCGTTCAGTGGAGAACTGCCTGGTCCTAACTCCAAAGACGGCAGTCTCTCCACTGCAGACTTTAAGAGATGCTTATTAAAAGGGTGTCATCAGACAAAAAAGGGATCCAGTCCCAAAGGAGAGAGATGATGATCCTCAGCCTTTCCCTGTGCTAGGATAAACCTGGCACCTACCGATGGTGGACAGTCCCCCAGCACAGGCCGCTGGGAGCTGAAGTGGTCCAACAGGTCTCTTCCATCCCCAGCGGCCCCGATCCCGTACCGCAGCAGAACACAATCCATCCATTGCTCAGGGTGACAAGTAGCGGTTCAAAAAGATACCCATCTTCTCCCTGCACGCAACGGAGGCAGCTGGTTTCAGTGGTTGACTTTGTGACTAGTGCCACTCTGCCCTAAGGTACCGTTCTGTTGCTGATCTCATCAGACAAGATGGACTAAGAGTGAGTCAAATTCTCCTTACCCTCATTAAATCATAGGTACCTTTAATGAAATGGGTACAGCTTTACCTTCTGTCTACCGCTGTGTAAAAATAAAAAGGCAGCATTTGAGCTGATGGCAGGGGGTGGCTCATCAATACTCAACGCCGTTCTGTGCTGAACAGACTCAGTACACTGAACTCCTTAACACAGGGAGTGGAGACTCGTTGGCTTAGCCCAGAATCAGTGCACAGTTGCTGTACCGCATACTGCATTACAGCACCCTTCAGCTGACTGTCCTTAATGGTGACAAACTAGCTAGGGGAACACAGGACTGCTGCTGAGAGCATGAAAGACTTGGCAATGGAGACAACGAGCTAAACTTGCTTGGAATGCTAATCTTAAGATCCCTATGCCAGACAGTAAACCCACCGGCCATATAAGCACCTGTACTGTTCACAGTACACCTGTAGGAAGCAAACTGTTATGTTCGTGGGCATTAAAGGATTTTTCCTGCATCTGGCCTTCTAAGCTGTAACAAAATGACAGTCTGACTGAAGACATACTTGAGCATACCCTTCAAAACTAAGAGGAGCAAACAATTTCCATGCTCAGGACGGCATTTGTTACGATTTCCTCATACTGCGCATTCTTACAAAAGGGAAGTAAGTAACCAGTGTAGGACAACCAGACTTGTCTCTGTATGAATATTAATCCATACCAAATAGGTACTTGTTTCCTGTTCCTCAGTACAATAGTATTAGTACGAGGCTTGCTCTAACAGCCTGGCTAAATGCTGAAACCTGTTCAGCCCACCTACCAGTTGCAAGGACAGTGAAGTACCTGTTGCAGTGCTATTGCCACGAGCAGGGCAGGTGCTCCATGGTGCTGGGAGACATGAGTGATTAGATGACACACAAGGAAGCAGTCGGCCAATTCCCACAGAGAGCTAAGGCAACACACCTGGAGGGGAGCTGCAAAAATAAGTTGGCTCCTACAGCTGTAGGAGATCAGATCAGATCAAGGCCCTTGAGGCACTATGGCCAGGTTAATTTTATAGCACAAGGTATGTAAATAAGTGTTCAGTAGCTGAAGGACATTTCGTATCACTTATTGCAACATGGCAACAGTGAAAAAGGTCAGTAATACATGTATTTGCAGCTCACTTCCTCTTCTCTTTATAGCTCTAATTAATAACCTAAACTGATTCAAATTAGCTTTGAATTCTTATTCAGAACTACTGCTACTAGTGCTGACAGATTATTTAGCACTTGTATTGTCTCTGTGTACTTGTAGCATTGTAGAGAGGTGGCTGATTGCAAGGTATCTACCAAGCACAGATAAAAAGGAGAAAGGAGTAAAGCATAGTCACAAGGATCCCTACCTAAAAGCAAGATGAGAAAAAAACCAAACAGTACCAGTTGTGAGAGAATGCCAGGTCACTTTGCTGCTCCAGTTGCAGGGGAGACCCTGAGAACTGGCAGCACACACAGCTCATCCTGAGCTGCTCCCATGGCTTCAGAGTGGAAGATAACGCTGCCGCTTTGGGCTCATTTTCAGACAGAGGATATTCCGGTGGGATCAATTCTCAGTTGAAACCTAGTCATGCCTTGACACAGCAGTACTAGTTTAGTGGTAGGGTAAGACAGGCTGGGTACAGTGCAGAAGTGGGCTTCCCAGTCTTTAGCATACTCAGCAAACATGAGAAAACAATGAACTGAGCCCATCACCAATTGTCTACCCTTGTCTAATGAGAAATTCTTACACAGAAGTCCTCATAATCATCTTAAACCTATTTATTTTTACTAGTGTGAAAAAAAAAAAAAACCTAAAGCCCAAATTATGCAAGATTTGGGTTTATCTGAAGCAATCAAAATTCAGGAAACAGTGTTTAATGGATACTTAACGTTTGGCTTTACAGATCAGGAAACACGTGCATCCTTAGAAAGAACACAACACAGGGCTTTTCTTTGTTCCTTGTGCCAGGTTCTAGTCTCAGTTCAACACAGATGAATAGCTGGAAGAACAAACCAAACCAGAATTATTGTACCTTTTGTAATAGGTGCTCCCAGTATTCCTTCTCTTCTATTACAAAAGCTCTAGCACTTCTGCCACACTAACATAGATGCTTATGGTAATGTAAAAGGCACATGGAAAACAAGGAGGTGATTGGTGACAGCCAGCATGGCTTCACCGAGGGCAGATTGTGCCTCGCAAATATGGTGGGATTCTACGATGGGGTCACAACCTTGGTGGACAGAGGGTGGGCAACTGATGTCATCTACCTGGACTTGTGCAAAGCATTTGACACCATCCCACACGACATCCTTGTCTCGAAATTGGAGACATGGATTTGATGGATGAACCACTTGGTGGATAAAGAACTGACTGGACTCAGAGAGTGGTGGTTAACAGCTCGATGTCCGAGTGGAGACCAGTAATGAGCAGCGTTCCTCAGGGGACAGTGTTGGGATCAGTGCTCTTTAACATCTGTCAGCATCATGGACAGTGGGATTGAGTGCACCCTCAGCAAGTTTGCTAACAACACCCAAGTGTGTGGTGCAGTCAACACACTGGAGGGAAGGGATGCCATCCAGAGGGACCTTGACAGGCTGAAGAGGTGGGCCACTGCCAACCTCATGGAGTTTAACAAGGCCAAGTGCAAGGTCCTGCAGAAAAACAGTTCTTCCCGCAGAGGGTGGTGAAGCACTGGCACAGGTTGCCCAGAGAAGCTGTGGATGCCCCATCCCTGGAAGTGTTCAAGGCCAGCCTGGATGAGGCTGAAAAAAAAAAACTGGTGGAAGGTGTCCCTGCCCATGGCAGGGGGGTTGGAACTCTATGATCTTTAAGGTCCCATCCAACCCAAACCACTCTATGATTCTATGAAAATAAGAGACCAAATTCCTCTCTAGGGTTGTTTTTTTTGTGTGTGTGTGTTTTGGCTTTGTGTTGGTTATTTTTCTTCCTGTCTCCAGTCTCTTACACTAGAGTCATTGCCAGTGTATCTGAACACTTTCTAATCTCCCACTGCTGGTGTCATACAGCTTCAGGCTATAACCAAAGACAAAAAAGTGCAAGTGACTGGAGTGTTTCATTAAAAGATAATTTTGGAATGTATACCGAATCAATTTGTCAGCTTTAATACTCCTGTCTACTCCCCACATGTACGTAACTTTGATCCTCCTGTGATGCTTTATGTGCTCTTATGTTTGAACAGAACAAGCAGTTGCTGTTGCTGGAGGTGTTATAGGAGGGATCCTTTTATTTGTTCTCATGGGAATAACTGCATACCTGCTCCGGAAGAAATTTTGCTGCCTCCTTCCTTACGAAAAGTTCACCAGCCCTGTCAAAACAACAAATGTAAATGCCATTTTTCAGGACCAGACAACTTCTGAAATTCAACTAAAAAGCACAAGGTACTTTGTTTTGTTTTTGAAGCATACACTACTGGTCATTTATTTCAACTTCTAAAGCCTCATATGAGGTGGTAATCTAAAGATATACACATTCAGAAACAAACGAGATAAGTCATATGACATCAGACATGTTCTGGTTTGTTCCTTTGGGAAAATACTTGGTGTTACTATGAATGCAATGATTGCTTCTGATTTGTGTAAAAGTGTAACTGGTGCATGGATAGCTTTGTGTTACCCAGATAAATTTGGCCTATGTTAGGGACATTCCAGGTGGTCTCATTATGAAGAATCTGAGAACCAAACAACAGGACTTCAGAAAGGAGACTGTCTTACAAAGTTAGCTACTGCAGGGCTTTGGGGCTCTAAACCAAGCAGCTGTGGTTAGTTCTTTTCCTTTGAAAGATGAGTTCATAAAGAAAAAAGGGGAAAAGTGAGCCATCTGTCTGAAGAATTAAGAACTTAAGTCTCTCACTTGGACCTTTAGGCATTATACAAATAAAATCAATTGGAAAACAATGGTTTTTTATCTTTTCTATCTGTGCATCTCTGCAAAAGTCTTACAAAATTGTAAGATAGGAACAGTAAATTTATTCCTGTTACCGAGTTTGGTTTCTGTATTCGCACCTGAAGTCAGTAGCTGTTGTTGCCTTGAGCAGATCCAGAAGCGTTCCATTCATCATTCCACCAACACTGCATGGGCGAGACTGGATTAACCTGACTAACGAAGAACACGTTCAGGAAGACAGTGACCCCCACATGATTCCTCAGTCTGGGCCACGGTCATCATTTCATTCTTTGGGTATGGCACTGCAAAAACAGGACTCTTTAAGGGTAACTTGGCTGTTATGAGGCGTGTTTACTGGTGGGATACCATACAGTGTTACACAGTACAAGCCCTAAACACTGTATGTGTGTGTGTATCTAAATGTATATTTATAGGAATCGGGCCAGAATGTAGCCATTCTTGCACACACAGCAGACAAAGCAACCTCTCCTCCTGTGTTCTGAGGAGGCACAACATGAGTACAACTCAGGAGGTGTCCGATTGTTGTCCCCAGAAAGAGCAGCGACCAGTTGCCAATTGCAACAACAAATACCTAAAACAATCAAAGTACAGTCACAGGAATAAGAAAAAAGTGGTGCAGCCTACAACTACTCCAAATCTGAGGGTAAAGGAATCAAAATACCAAGTTAATGGTAAAATGGATTGTGAGTTGAGATTAATGTGATTTCCTCTAATACAGCAGAGGTTATAAAAATGTCTGTTACCATCTTGAGACTAATCTGAGGGTGTTTGTTTTTATTTCATGAAGCTGGAGCTTACGTTGTAGGGACCATTAACCCTGAGCTGTACAAGTTTCCTGAAGACAGAAGTGAGACGGATTTTCCTGAAGGCAACATTGGGCGCCTCTGGTTCTCCATAGAATATGAGCAAGAGTCAGAAAGGCTCCTCGTCTCCTTGATCAAAGTCAGAAAGCTGCAGCCTCCTGCTGAGTCCTGCTGTCTGTTTGTGAAAATCTACTTGCTGCCTGATGAGAGAAGCTACTTGCAGTCCAAAACAAAACACAAAACCCTTAACCCACAGTTTGATGAAAACTTTGTTTTTCAGGTACCTTTTCCTTTTGATGAAGCAGATTTTTGTTTGCAAATACTGAGCTGTCAAACTACAGTACATGCTTTGTGAAAATTAATTTTCTACAAAACTTCTACCGAGATAGAAGTTGTTTCCACTGGAGATACGATTAGTGGAGTTTCTGGAGATCCTGGGCTACTGAAGTCTGTGGCTGCAGAGGTGATCTTGCTTGTGGTCTGCACCAAAGTTGAGGATTCCAGAACTTGCCCTGGGAATGATGAAAACTCCAGTTTCCAACGATGGCTGAGCCGTTCAGCCCAGAGGCAACCAATACTGAACTAAAGCTTTCATAGCTTTCAGTTTCTTTGCTGTGGAAGTAGGCTAGAAACTAGAACTCGTGAGATGTCTGGATGCCATTTGTATAGTCCTGTAAAGCTATGAGCTTGGCTCCCTATGTCAAGAGGCTTTGAGCTGGTGTCACAAGAAAAGCAAGATTTAAAACCAAAAAAAAAGTTTGTTTCAGACAACTGAGAAGCAAATGTTTACAGATTTCTAACCATTTATATCTGGAAGTGAATGCATATCACATTAGATCTGTATGAGCTGAAAAATTGCCAGCTAGCCTACTTGTCAAATGAACTCATTCTGTTTAGCTTGGATCTTTAGACATTTGCATAGCTAAAACTTCAGGCAAATTAAGAAAGTGGACTTCAAATAACTGAAGGAAACCTACACCTACCTTTAACACACTCCGAAAAAAATCTCCTCTTAAGTCATGCTAGAGTAGAAAAGTGCCAGATATTTTATAATTATATATTCTTCCTTTTCCTGTACAGGTTTCCAGTAAAATGTTGCTCCAAAGGACTCTGAAATTTTTGGTTTATCATGTTGATAAACAGAAAAAGCATCATCTCCTAGGTCAAGTTATCTTCCCACTGAAAAATGAAACATTAATGGATGACAACAAACTAATCATATGGAGAGATCTGGAGAAAGAAAACTTGGAGGTATGCAATAGCAGGTTGTTCGGCAGTGTGGAACTTGTGTCACCTAATGAGTAGTGGAGGGCTACGTCTGAAGTAGAATTAATGTTGTATCAAATATACCAAAATCAAAACTATTTGATAAACATGTGGAATCAAAATTCCCATCTTACCAACCTGCAGATCCATAGCTGTCATACAGGGATTATCCAACTGCTCAGAAACAGTCATGTGAGTTAGGAGATGGTTACATAAGAAAGCACTTCTTATTTGCTTGTTTTGAATTAGGAAGAGCAGAAAAAAAAGGCAGAAGAGGCAAGGAAACAGGCATCACCTGGAAGAGCTAGGAATTCAAAGGTTCAGGAAGGCTGATTGTTTCTATCAAGTGTCACAACAGCATAAAATGAAGCTGTTACCATTCACTCACAAGCCTTAGCATGGCACAAACCACTAGTATGAAGAAGAAATTTCCCCCCTCCCAGTTTGTGTGTGTGAAGGGTTTTTCAGTCATATTTGACAAGTGTTGCTCTGCTTTCAAAGCCTCCCTCAGAGTACGGGGATATCCAGTTCTCCCTCAGCTACAACGACTGCCTGGGTCGTCTCACTGTAGTGGTTCTGAGGGCCAGAGGATTAAAGCTCCAGGAGGAGAGCCATGCTGTCAGTAAGTGTGATTTCCTCTCTGCTATTAACTCCAGAATTCCTGTTGTAGTTTGCTCCTTCCTCATCTGTCCACCCAGGCAAGCTCTGAGTGACTCTGAAAAGAACAAGTAAACATCCAGGCGATTTCATTTTAGTGGAAACTAGCCAGACCTCATTACTGGGGTAATTAGATTTTGATAGCTCAGTTCTGCTATGTTTTGCTTTTGATTCATAATAAATGGTTTGTCCTGTGTCACCCAGCAATTTTTTTTCCTCCTGCTTTAATACAGCCAGCAACATCCCTTTGCTACACTTCAGTCTGGAGAAGGTAGCATTTCAGGGGATATCAACATTAACAGAGCTGCCTCAGTGCAAAAGCCCAGAGGTGCCAACTGCTTATGCTCAACAGCTGTCCTGGGGAGAGCAGAACTGGGAAAAGAATTCCCATTTAGGACAGCCTGGCTCTTGTGCAAAGGACCATGGCATGGAATCACAATTTCTCTCCCTTACTGCAGTTGGGTTCTTCCTGGTACATCATGCTCATGTGTCCTTGGCCTTGGAGATGTTGAGTGTAGAAATTACCCAAAAATGTTGTTTAAAATCACTCAAAGCAAAAATACATTAAACAAAACAATATAAACAAACCCAGAAAATCTCAGGCTGCTTTGGATGCCACTGTCCAAGATCTACTGAATAAACCCACAGTGCCATACAGGTTCCCTTCAGGAAGTGAAGCAAAGCAGTTGTTCTTTGTTGTTCCCACACTCGCACACAATTTTCATAATGCTTTCCTGAGCAAAGAGCAGAAATCACTGGTCTTTTCCTCAAACTTTCTACACCAACCACAGGGCTAGAAGTCATTATAGAGCCTTTTGTTTAAGGATTCTTCTTTGACTAGGAGAACGTTCCCCTGGAACATATCCAATCCAAGCACAGGCTGCAGCTTACATACTACTAAGCTCACTACATGGCTCCTCTCTCATGGCCTCCCCTTGTGTTGGATCAATCTTGATCAAATACATGAGACTACCAACCAAGCAAACTAAGATCAAGGATGCAGGCTAAGAATATGACTGCTGCTTTTAACAGCCCCTAAGCTGGAACATTGCACGCAACACTGCACTCGAAGTACTTTGTGCCTAATGTTATGCATTGCCATGCTGCCATAAATGTTTCCTGAATTGTTCATGGTCTAATTTTATACTTAATATTGACTCTTGAAAGCAAGAAATTCCTTAAGCCTTCTCCCAACTGCCTCTGATGTATTTTCTTGAATTTCTTTTCCTCCAAGGTGTCTATGTCAAGGTCTCACTGATGAACCATAATCAATTCATCAAAAGTAAAAAGACAGCAGCTGTTCTGGGATCTCCCAACCCAGTGTATAATGAAACCTTCAGTTTCAAGGCAGATCAGATGGAGCTGGATACAGCAAGCCTGAGCCTATCTGTGCTCCAGAGTATCAATGGAGAAAGTAAGCTATATAAGTTATTACAGTTAAGATCATCTCATATATTGCACAGATATTTAAACCTCAGAGGAACTAATACCTTCACAGAGATAATCATAAAACAGACAAAAGGTTTGGGGTATTTCACAGGCTGTCTCTTTAAAAAGCAGAACAACTTATTTGCAGTAAGTGTCTCTCAGAGGTGCAAGACAAATTTAATGGCAGACAGGAATAAAATAAGTGTAGGCTAGTGACTGTCAGCACAAGGTGCTGTACTTTTGCTTTCTTAGGATACCAGAATGAAACAAGCTTATGCAATAACGTTCTGTAAATACTTACATGTATAATCCCTGAGCCCATTTACTGTTCCTAACAATATCTGAAAGAGGAATAGGAATTCTAATTATCACAGCAGTTCAAGCAGCAAGAAAGAGAGAGATTACAAACAGCCCCTCATTCAATGGAAGAAAACCTGATGCTTCAGATCACCTCTTAATAATTGTCACAGACTCCATTAAGGAGTTCTGCTTAGAGAAGCAAGTGAGAATTCAGTAGTTCCACTGCTCATGAGAAAAACATCTTCCCTGCACTGCAAATATCATCTCAATAGTGAAACATTAAATACCCCCATTTGGATTCTATGCTCCTAAAAAAAAAAAAATCCTTCAGGTGAGATTGTGGGTAGGTGCTTTGGCTTTGAGGATTGACAAGCACTAGGATCAATACTCCAGTCTTTCATCATTGTCACTTGGAGCAGCCAAACACTTGACAAACACTCAAAACTTCACGTATAAGGCAGGTTTGAATTTTTTTTCCCCACCCACAGCTGAAGAGTTCAGGTACGAAGAAACAATCTGCTCACTGGCATCCCGCACACTACGACTCCCAGCTCTCTCAGTAACTAAATCCATTCTTTCCCAAGCTTGAGCATCATATGAATCCTACTACGGCTGCTGATGCCCAAAACTAGGGCACACTTCCACAGTACACACTTGAGACAGAGGGGCTGGGCAGATACAGATCTGTGAGCCTTAAACTGATTCTAGTTTGGAGTGTAGGCAACAGGGTAGGCCTGAACTGACTAAATCCCCCTACTGACTGTAGTAGCTTTTAATGCCCAATCTCAGCACACAGAAACGATAGAACCTGAAATCTAGAGTTCCTTGATGAAAATTTGTGTTTAAAAATAACTTCTAGAACATGCATGACTGAAAAATACAGGTTAATATTCTGATTTAGGTAAATATTTCAGAGAAGCACTCTGGTGTTAATCACCGCCTTTTTTTTTCCCCAGAAACACAGCTACTAGGACGTGTGGTAGTTGGGCCTTTCATGTACACCCGCGGCAAAGAACTGGAACACTGGAACGAAATGATCAGCAAGCCTAAGGAGTTGGTCAAACAATGGCATGCTCTCTGCCACAGCACATAAACAGCACAGATAAACAACCTTAAAATGGGAAAGCTCTCATCTTTCATAATCAAGTGACCAAGGGTACAAAATATTTGACCATTTTACACTCCTAACTAGACCAGCATAAAATAAGTAAATTCTTTTCCTTGCCCAAACGCAATGAGAAGACTTGGACCCTGATAGGCTGGAACACCATCTTTTCTCGCTTCAAAATGTATTTCCAATTTAATTAATATGCAGCAGAATAAAACAAAGCAGGAAGACAAACATGATCTCCCAATATTTATTTTGACTAGTGAACTCCAACTCTTGGTCATTGATTCTGGAAACAAGTGATCACCCGTCATGTGGGCAGAACCCAAAATGACCTAAGAATTGCTTCTGCTGATACCAGGCCTACCAGTCCACTGCCTTGCATCACCACCGACACAGCAGCTTCACCAAAAGGGATGGAAGGCCAGTAAGCATGCCAGAGCAGACAAAGCCCCAAAGACGCTGGCTGATGACTAGGTTTATTTGAAATAGCAGCATTATATTTAAAACCTCTTTTGAATATGAATGGTGGAAAGCACTGGATGTTTATTGATCAAAACCCTAGAAGCCCTTGTTCGCATTCTTCCACAGAGTATATTTCTGGCACTAATTCAGTCAGGTGTTTTCAGCTGACCCCAGTGTACAACACCGTGTTGACACTAAGGTGCTGAAGTCACAAAAGACCGACTTGTACTACTGGAGTACCCTGAGGGAGTAATACAAGGGACCTGTCTTGTCTTTACATACTTCCCCCTAAACAAACCTCTGCTGGAGACAGAGCATTGATTACAAGAACTTTGGGTTTGACCTAGTATGACCATTCTTACACTGAAAATCCAATTAGCTTAAGCCCACGGGACATACATCTGTGTTAGTGGCAGAGTTTTCTTTGTTAAGTAAATTATTGTTCTGTAAAATATTTCAGAGCAATTATTTTTAATGAAAATAAAATAAATAGGACATTCTTCTCTTCTTGATTGTTGACTAGGGAGTTGAGCTCTGTACCTTTAATGCCATATGGTCATAAACCAGACAGACTATTGCAGCAAAACATTTTGTACAGTTATGTTCCAAGAGGACCATAATCTCTGCAGCTGAAATAAAGCCAGCTTCATTTCAAACTGGACACAATATTAAATATATTTTTAAAAATGAGGCTTCTCTGAGGAGACAAGAACACTTTCCATTTTAATAATATTGTTATTATCTAAAGAAAATATTATGAATGAGCATATATCTGAGAGGAATTGTAAGATAACAGAATCCACTTCACCCGATCCCCCATTTGAAAGGTTACGTGGTACCCTCAAGTCTGTCTTGCCAACTGCATCACTGGATAGACCATGAGCCTACATTCATTACATTTAATTGAATTTTACAAAATGTTCAACCCGTATTATATCTCTGTTAAATTAGCCATGCCAGCACCCCCAACCCCAAAGGGTTGTTTTCAAATTTTACTCCTACAAAACCACTGAGAACCAATCTAATAGGCAACATGTTTTGCCCGAGATGGAAGACCATATATAGACTTCAGAATAACCATATTACTACAATAAATCAGTTTTACCAAATATATTATGCCCCTTCTTTATGATTTAAATCATACCAATAAACATTAACGATCTTAAGAGTAAGTGTTCAGAAAGTTTCAGACATGTTTACTGGCTTGTGCAGGAAGATGCATGTAGTGTACACTGCCTATTAACATAAATACCTCCAAAGTGGGAAGGAAGTCACCTGTCTGACTCAAGGTACAGCATGGTCCAAGCAATAACAATGCCTTGTGCTGGTGCAATGGCTTTTCTTTGTGCTTCTTATGAAGTACCAACACTTCCAGATGGTGTCTTCAGTAATGCCAGCTAGAATCATGAACAAACTTACTTAAATGCACCTACCAATGTACATGACTTTGCTCAAGGTCATCCAAGTGAAGTAAATGAGAAAGGTCCTTTTTGACTCTTCCTGAGTAACACAAGAAACATGGTTAAGTAAGAAGTTATAATACAGCATTATCAATTATCACATAATAGAGCATCTTTTTACCCACTGCCTTTTACAGATCATCCATCTGGTCTTATGCTTGAGACTTGTATCAAGAGGTAGGAAAAGGGATTACAAGACCTCTCAGTGCCTGACAGTGCTTCTCTTTCCTCTAAAAAGTTTTAAAATTTAACCAAGATGCATAGCACAAAAAACCCTCCATCCAAGAAATAGATACAAGATCATACAAAACGTGACACCTTCCCTCAATACCTCCCACTACTATTAGCCAATACAGGAATTTTAAAAGCTCTGCAATACATCTAGCCTGTAATGCAATGAAAGTACAACCCCATCAAATGACAGGGAGCAGCAATTTACCATTGTTTCAGAGCAGACGTGAATAACGGTTACGTTCTTCTCAAGAACGGGATCTGGGAGAAGCAGTTCCACCACTACTCAAGCACAGTATTGATATTCCCTTCTGGGTCACTGCCTACCTTACTTATCTCTCAAAGTTATACCTGTACTAGTCTTTCAGGGAGCCTAATGATTACTACCATCTGCACTACTCCATCCTTCCTCTAAGAGAGGAAATGAGAGACCAGAAGGATTTATTTAGTAACTGCTTGCTCCTAACATAACAGTACATCTTAAAAGCAGCAGCTTGATGAAACTGAAAGGGGGCAAGATGCACTGCAGCTGATAAAGGATCAGAAAACTCCTTCAGAAAAGCTTTCTATGCCCGATGGAGCACAGAAGGTGAAATGGCTACCTGTTTGAAAGGCAGGGAGAAGCTGTAGTAATAAACAGAAGGCAGCAGGACCCAGAGGTTTTACACAGAATTACTAATGTCAGGAATCAAAAAAACCCTATAGAATTATGGTAAATTTACTGACTTTAACACTGAACTAGGGTGTCATGTTTGTAGCTGGGATTTCAGACAAGAGCCAGAGTGGTGATCCAAAAATCCATGAGAAAAGAATGAGGCAGTAAGGCCCAAGTCAGCTGGAGAGACCTCACCACAGTACTTAAAATGCAATGTTTAGCCACGCTCAGCTCACTGATCTGCAGGGCATGACTTCCAAAGTTACCAGATCATCCTAACAAGACCTCACACTGACAGGCTATAAAACAATTTAGGATTTCTCTACTGTAATTATGTCTGGTTTTCAAGGGTCTTTAATCAACAAAAAAAATGCTCCTGGAATATTTTCACTCATACAGGATAAGCATTGGTGCTAATACCTCATTTAAATCCAAACGCAAACTGCTCTTCCCTTCCACACAGTTTTGGCTGGCATTAAGAAATTCCCATTTGAGAACCAGACACTGCTGAGTAAAGCACAGTTAGGGTAAGGTATGAAAGGCACAGATGCTTAGGGGGTTGGAACTAGATGATCTTCAAGGTCCCTTCCAACGCAAACCATTCTGTGATTATGACCTTCACCAAGGTGATGGGTTAGGGCAGCGTTATCCTGTTATTGCCAAGTCACACGAAGCTAAAGATAAAAAGGTGTTTTTACAGTGAGGTAAAATTCCATCATTGCAAGTCTGCTGACCTCTCCTTTTATAAAGCTGTGATTTTCCATATAATCTTTAGCACAATTTCTTAACAGTAGCAAAAGTTAAGTTTTCATTCTTGATTAGAGGAGGGCATTACAATTACTCTCTTCTGTGACCAATTCCTCCCTGCTCTAGGGACAACAGTATGGAAATTACTCTTCTACAGACACTTTGCAGTGTTCCCTCTGTAGAAGGGGCTACCTAGTTGCTTCTGGAGATTTGTCCTAGGGATTTGCACACCAGTGGTGCTAGGGTTGAGCAGTTTTCAGTGTCACCACGCTATCTTTCTTATGCTAGTCTCCAGTATCTTGGCACAGCAGGAAATTGCTTTTGCTGGCCTAAGATCAGCATTTCTATGCTCACTGACAAAACTGTTTCAGAGACAAAAATCCTGAGGAGTTATTTTATCACACAACACAGCTAGGGCGTAAATGAAAAGACGAAGTTTGGTATGAGCAGCAGAGCTGCACAAATTTATTTGGTCAATAGAATCTGGCCAGATTGATCAGAACACAAGTAGTCAAATACAGAAATAACATAAGAAACCTTGCAAAGCTTCAGCTGAGAATTCATTCCTCCAAAGTCATCCAATAATCCTTAGGATTCTCTCTTGCTGCCTGACTGACCAGAAACATCACTACTTTCCCATTCATTGGTACACAAGAGAACACGTGGGTTACACATAGCTCTAACCAACATCACTAAAAGACCAGTCACAAATTGGTTTCATACGTGATACAACAGAATCCAAACTAGCACCAAGAAACATGATTATTCAAGTAGTCACTTCCAAGAAGCAGCACATGAAAGCTGTTCAACAGTTATATTGCTTGAATAATATATTGGACAACTTGATTTATCAAATTCAGTTCTGAGAAGAGTTCTGTGTTTGAAGCCTGAGGATAGCTGAAAGTGTATGTGGAAATTTATTTCCTAAATGACAACAGCGCAGGGAAAGATCTGCAAGGATCTAGCCAGACAGCAAGTGACTCCTACCCTACAGCTTCTACCAGCCACTGTAAGAGGCACAATTGATTAAGATATTTATATCAGGAAAATACTGATCTGTTTAATGACTTTCACACTGTATCAAAAAAATACTGATCTAGGTATTTATTCACTTGCACAGAGTAACAGTTATTACATTATTACTTTATAAAGTCAGGTGCAATTATTCACAGATAGTGATAAAAATCACATCTGATCCTTTACAAAATCATTTACCATCTGATAGTGATAAAAATAACTATCAGAACACATTAATACTTAAAAAAAGAATTAAAATTTAGAAATCTGATCAAGTTGGGAGAAAACTATGCAGGCCAGCATTAAACTAATTAAATTGGCTTAAGGTGATTAAGTTTATTTGCCAGCTTATGCTGGATAAATATTACAATAAATACTACAATTAAATCATTTAAAGGGTCCATGAAAGAATGCACCAGTTTAAACTGTTTAAAACCTCTTAAATTGTTGCAGTAACTTCTAGACACAGAAAATAAGATTCCATGAGACAGTTCTGTTTTAGAAGAGAAAACAATGGCAGCAACATTGCTGAGGGTAAATGGCAGAAGTTCTGCTGTTAGAAGGAAAGCAACCACAATAGTAAAGCAATCAAAGACATCAAAGACATATCCTACACACCATCTGTAACTTGGGTAAGACAAAAAAAGTCTTGTAATTAAGTAGTATTACTAAATTTGGGCTGTCATCCTCTAATCTACCATATCTGAGAAAAAACTCGGTCCCTCAATGCTAGTGAGCTTTTCTGGGGAAGAAAAGGAACATAAATAGCCAGAGTTTATTAGCATAAAAATATACTTTATGACAATTTCAGTACTACAGCAGCAGTATATACTATTAGCTGATATTCCATACCAGTCCTTCAGGTGGTTTGTTGAGGGTTTTTTTGGTATAAGTTAAAAACAAAGTCCTTCCTGGTGTTTTTAGTGAGATTTGCTTCCTTGAGCTAATTCATTTTTCTTCTGTTTGCCATCTGTGTGTTCCTATGGTCTCTGTTATTCAGTTACTGCAGAGGTCAATGCTTCAAAGATCAAGATGAAAATTTAGCAGATGGAAATCCTTTTGCTGAGGATAGCTGTTTTCATCTAGCACAAAATGGCTCCTAATTTCCAACAAGTAGGATGCCTCTGTATCTGCTAGCAGCAAGTGACACAGATCGGCTACTACTGCGCTGTAGGTTATATCTGAAGAGGGCACTGCGAAAGACAGAACAAACTGATTTACTCAATTTTCACAATGGCACCAAACATTCAAGTTCCACCTCCATGAAAGCTGCACTGAGTCACAGGAAGCTCAACATCTGACTGGAAAATTAGCTTTTTTTTTAAAATGTGCTTAGACTGTTCCACATTAAACTAACACCTGTGAACCATGTAAAACACTTCAAAAACTCAAACAGGATGTATCAAGAAAAACCCGTCTGAAACACCACTCAGTTATTTACATCATGAAACATGCCAGCTATTTCTAAAAACTGCTAGGAGATGCTATTTTGCAGAAGGGATCCATTTAGTTACTGAATACTTAGTGTTATAGCGTAACACATGTTCATACCACATCACCTCTTGTTGCTGCTACCTCAACTCTGAGCTTCTGAGTTCAGAGGACAGCAACTGAGGTGTTTCTTATTAAAAAGTCTCAGAATATGATCAATCATATTTCCAGAACAGCCTCATCCCAATTTTGAATGGTCAGCAACTAAAAATTTCACTTCTGTTGTGCACTTTGCTGCCCGTTTTCATCATAAGCGATTAATGCAACAGTACCTACTAATCTGTTCAGCCAGTCTGCAGGAATATTGAGGAAGATTTTCTCCATCAACTCAGACACCACATGAACATAAATCTCATATCCTCCATCTTCTACTGTCATCAAAGCAGGTCTAGATCAGAAATCAAAAAAGTTAGCTGCTATGTTGTTTTGATGGAAGCAAAATTTCCCAAAGAAATACAATGTTATATTACCCTCTAGCGTAACAAAAACTAGAAAATCATCTCATCTGACATGTCTGTAGAGTCGGAACGAGATATATTCTGAATCCACTACTCACTGTTAAAGTAACTTTTAAAGCTATCAAGTAAGCCTTACTTTCAGAAAACTGCAGAAAACAATGCTTTTGCAGTAGTTCTGTGGAGGAACTGAGAAATGCACTGTTATGAAGTTAGTGTTATGACATATAAAGATCAAAGCCATAAATATTTCATGTATAAAATGTTAACATGTAAGTACATGTACCTACGAATACACAACAGGTACAAAAAGAATTGAAATGCAAAGTAGAGAGCAGCTTAGGTGTATCACTTGGAACTGTATCAACATCACCTAATATTGTCAGTCTTAATAAATTTATTAGGTTTTTTTTAGTCTTTAATACACCAAGACTGTATTTTTTACTAGTATCAAATTGTTTCACATACTGCTGAACAAGTTTAAACCCCTCCTCTTGCTGGAAACCATTTTCCACATAGGATATGGTCAGTAGTATTCCTATTAGGTCTGAAGTGAACCTGGCTAAGGACTGCTGTGCCACAAGCACTGGTTTTCACAAATTCTGCTGTTTCACATGATTCAAAAGTGATGCTGGATGACAAGCAGCTGGTAAGAAGTGATCCTTTGTTTAGTATAGATGTTCCCTATATTACAAAGGTTTGCCTTCTTTCCAATCTGTCACTGATACCAAACCTTTTTTCCCTGTTCCCCACGCAAGACCTTGCTATTGGTTTTCGCTATACTTCTGTGAGACAATACCTTAGCAGTCCTCTACAGTGATGTTCAACAGGCAGTTTCTGCTCGCTTTCAAGCTTCTGATTTTACCACGCCTGACTGTTTATACAGCTAATGCAGCTTCCTTCTACCCAACACATGCTCTTTGACTGACCTGCAATATCTGCACCATCACAACCCTCACCTTTCATAAAATCTGCACTGATCAAAGCAGGATGCAATGCTTGTATCCTGACCATCCCACAGAGGAAACTAAACCAGCAAACATCAAGACATATCACAAAGGAAATCCTAGTTATAGTAAGACTGGGCCAGCACCAAAGCAGTATACGTTAAATAATCAAATAAGGCACAGTTATCTCCAGCACAGAACTTTTCAGCACGAGATGCTCCCAACAGGATAAAGCGTGCCCACTCCAGAGATGGCAGAAATGAGAGCAGGACAGTCACTTCAGGAGACCAGCAGAGCTGCACTGTCAAACAGGACAGTCAGCCAGTAGTTCAGTATAATGACAACTGCAGAGTATAATTAACAGATGAATTTAGTTAGCATGACACAGAATATACCTAACAGCACTAATCTGAATGCCTGCGAGGCATGAAGGCAGATGACTACAAATATGCCACTTTCCCAGTAGGCAAATCATTTGACTTGCCATCTGTTAATCTAAAAGCTACTGCTAAATTTCATAATCTCAAGTGATGTGATCAAAAGAGATAAGAATTCCATGTCCGATTATCTGTGGGATTGTTTCAAATCTGCCTGTTTAGACAGAAACCAAGATCTATCTGTAGTCTTTACAGACTGCTGACCCCCGTCATGAGAAAAAGCTTAACAACAGTACACTTAGATGCTCAACTTCCCAAATAATTGTGGGCAATTGCTATTTTATCTCTGAATAAATGTATTTTGCTTCAAACAATTTATGCTGTAGTACATGGAAGTCATTGACTTCCACAAATACTAACATAACATTTCAGAGACAGAATACTATTTTTGCAGAGAAATATACTACAAGATGCCACAAAATTTGAAGCTTTCAAGGTCATAGGCAAGTGCGGCCCACATAACTCAACATTTGCATTAGGAAAGATTAATTTTGCTCCATTTCTGGTGGTTGTATGCTGACCACCTGTTTCTCAGTTTATACTCTGTTCTCAACATTACCTAAGCCTTCTTTCAGGTAATCTTATTTACATCAATAAGAGTGAACTGTCATGGTGAGAAAGAAAATTCAGTCTCCAAAACAGTGCCTGGCACTGTTAACATTCTTTCACTAGCACCACAGAAAGTGTAATATTGTGATTAACTTGATTTCTTAACTGCCACTGTTTAATACAGTGAATTTAAATCACTGTAAAAGAGACATTTATGGATATAACTAAGTTTCAATGAGGGCATATATAGTTGTGCAAAAACATTCCTCAGAGGCTAGTAAGTAGTCTGCAGCACCTGCATACAAAGCTGGTGAAACATACCCAAGAAATGTTTTTCCACTAGCACAGAGGGTTAGATTCAGCCCCTGCTGAGCACAGGTACCTAGGAATTTCTTCTCATTACTGCTACTGTGAAGATGTTTCTCTTCTGAAGTGACAAACACTCATTGGTATGGAATGAAAGATGGATTATCTGAAGGGAATACTACCATCATAACAAATTCCAGGGAGAAGATGCCCTGATACTGAAAGTTTAGGCAAAACCAAGTATAAGAAATATAGATGTGATATCTCAAAATTTAGGAGGTGAGCCGTGAAATATGAAATATTTTTCCTTGCCTTAGTTTTAATTTTTTCTTCTAGCTTCATGTTCATATTGTCTGACCTCAAAAAATAAGGAAGTGTTTACAAACATTACAACAGCACTTAAGTTTCTAGGGTCTTCTGCCACACTATTACTGCTACTGTCAAGGTGTTCAGTGTTCCAGGGATCTACCCTGGAAAAACAAGAAAGCTATCTATGCACGTACACCTGCATCTCAAGCTTGTGGCTTCAGCATCTGAAGAAAGATGTGAGCTTCATTAAGATCACAGCAGGTTAACAAAACCAGGCTCCTGCATTTCAAAGGAAAAATATAATGGGGGATAACATTACCAACCTACAGTATTTAAATCCAAGATTTCAAGGTGGTGCTAGTCTCAAGTACCAAGATCCTGTCAATCTATTTTCCTATCATAGTGTCTATTTCATATCTTAAATATTCACACTCTTAAAATAAGAAGTTCCACGTTAGGATAAAGTTGCCACATTCGCTGTATCAAAGCAGCAAATCAAGTTACAGACTGATCCTATGCTTTAAGAAGTCTGCAGTGTTTAATATTACATTTACTCATATATTAAGTTGAAAACAGTATGCAGATTTTACTCTCAAGGAGATGCTGGTAGCAGTTGCATTGCTAGAAACACAGCACAGTGAATTTACTACCTCCTTACATTGAGGGATGAAAACCAATGAGATAAGGGGACATTATTTAGCAAACTACAGGAAAAAGGTAATTTTCCACTAGTTGTGCATACAGTTTTATAAATAAGGCTAATACTAACCTGATATATCAAGCTGTTGAGTAGCACAATAATGCTAGGACAGCATCTTTAACTAAAGTTAATAGGATATTTCTTTAGCAAGACAGATTTTTCTCCTGTTAAGATGTAAAGGTACTAAGCTATGCTACAATACAGAATTTGGAAATACTACCAAGGAGATACATCCTTACTGAACTAATCAAAGCAAAATTTCAGTGCACAACTGAGACTTTTCTTTGAACAAGTTGTGCATTTAATTTCCATGTCAAGACGTGTTCACATGCTGAGAACACAGACAACAGAAGTTCTAGAGAACTAATAAATAAGATAGACATGTTCTATAACTCTTATGTCTATTATGGTCTCCACGTTCTATACCTACAGCTCTTTCAAGTCACTATGATACTTACATTTCAAAAGTCAAGATAAATTTAAGAATTGAACAATTAGTTATAATGCTCTTATGTCAACTGGATCTGTTTAGTTTATTTTCTCCAAAGTAAAGGTGAACACATATTGTCTCACAGTGCCCCCTGCTGGTAATTTAGTGTCTCTGCTGTCTATGAGAATGTTAATTGAAAACATTTGTTAGTATTATTTCTGCAAGACTAAAATTGATAAATCAATTCTAAAGTATACTTGTGCATTCACACAATCTGAAACTTAAACCAAAACAAGACACTCAAGTTCTCTCTTGGTCCTCAAGCTTCTACTTAGTTTACTGACACACTACTGGGTAAACCTTGTTACTGTATGACCTAGTATTCAAAGAAATTAGCAAGTTGGGTTTAAACGAAGAATACCACCACCTATAGTTAACAGTAATAATACAGTAATTCAAGAACAGCTCCTTCAACATTAACTAGAAAAATACATTAAATATTTGTAACTATACTTTAAATACATGAAATTCTGTAAGGGGGAATTTAACATTGAGAAAGTGGTCGCTTACTTCCACAATAGTACAATATTTCAGTTTTGCTTACCTGTAGAACGTTTTTACTTTGTTGTAAGGCAAACATCTAAGACATTGCTTGTAGATCATGTTCTCATCTGCCTGTAGTTCCAAACCACATTTAGCACAGCCTGAATATGTCATCAGAGGCAGAGAAGCCAAAACACACTCCAGTGAAGTGTCAGCACAGATGAAGAGTTCCTTACACTGACCCATTGGAATGTTAAACTTCAGTTCCAAGATCCGGGCTCTCACTTGAATTACCCCTACAAAACCAAGTTTCAATCAAATCTGCATACTTTCATTTATAACTGAAAGCCAAAGCAAATGGTCATAGCTGATTCAAAAGCAAAACCATTATCAGTAAAAACTTACTGAATTTTGTTCCTTTAGTAACACATGCTCATCTTAGATTATTTTTTATGCAGCAAAAAATCATTTTGGTTAAACATTATTTAAAAATGTATAAAAGTACTACATTTTCAGGTACTATTGTGGCAGATGCCACTATAGAAGAGCCTGAATAAGCAAGCAAGAAATTAGAATTGTGCAAATAATGTCCATTTGCTTTCCTTCCCATGCTAATTCAGAGACACTGAAAAGCATAGTTTCAACAGCTTAACTTTCCACTAGTTACACAGAAACTAGAGTTAAATGCTGCAATGCCAGCTTAAAGTTACTTAATGTTTAACATCAATCTTAGCAATCTTCTAGGTTAATCTGGGAGGGGGTGACTGTAAAATGCATTCTTTGTTCTTTTGTAAGAAGTTTCAATAGCAGTGGCTATTTTCTCTTGCTTTAGAGAACTTCAGTTTTGGAGAAACACCATTCAACAAACTTTCAGTGATTAATCACATCATTACTAGACTGGCTGGTGTGGCCAACACAAGGCAGCATTTCTCCCTGTGTTCCAAAGCCATCTTTGTGTGGTACCACACCTATCTCACCTTCGGGCTTACTGAATGGAGGCTGCATTCACAACTTGGCTGGGTGCTGAGCCTGAGCAGCCTCCAGAACAAATTCAGATTACCCAAACTGTGTCAAAAAAATAGAAGCATTTCACTTAGATCTATAGAGCATCTATTTTACTTTATGCACTGCACAACAGGTATTAGAGCTGTGGATAACAGTGTTACCTGAGCACTTTTCCTCCAAATGTGCTGAGAGTCTTGTCATCTGCATGAGAGATGTTTTGCTTTCCTGAAACTTCTCTTTAAACTCAACTGCCCTTTTGTCATCATCAAATAAGCACTCCGAGGATGACCATGGAGTTGTGTGCAGTTCAAAGGCACCTGAGACTGAACTGTGTTGGACCAGAAGGTATTTAAAGTCCCATATGTGATCTACAGAACAAAAAAAGCACACGGTAGAGCTCACTTTCTATACCTTGGTTAACTCACAGAAAGCCAAAGTCACTTACAAGACAGGGAAACAAATCAGCAAGACATTCTCATATGGTCAACTCTGGCAACATTATTTCAAGCCCAATGACACACAGGGCTTCTCCTTCCTCTATAAACTCTGCATGAGTCCTCCCCTAACAGAATGATGATTTTGTTTCACTTGTAATGAATTCAGCTTTCAAGACATCTCCACTTTTTGAAGCAACAGGTTCTGAAATTTCTTGCCAGCTCTAATAAGGAAAAGTTGGCAACATCTAGAAAATATTGTTCATGTTATTAATCAGCCTCCATCTTTAACATGTCCCTGCTTTTTCATCTTCTATCTTCATAATGCTCTGATTTAAATCTAAATTAATCTTCCATCTTCCAATTGACTAATAAGAACATTAAAATAGAAATTAAAGAAAAGCAATATATTTTGGTCTTCCACTTTCATATGAGAATCCAATATTCACCTACTAATTAAGTCTGATAACCATTTCAGCTGGCATTTGCTCAAGCTGGAAGTTGCAGCCAAAAATACTAGTTTTTGCAAATAAGATTAGAAAAGTACAGATATTCAATGTATTTAAGTGTCTATATAAGCATTTTATTAGCATGTTTTAGTGTTTTCATATTTTAGATTCCTCTTGATTTTTAGTGGTAACTTGCTAAAATTCACTGGCAACAATTTTTAGATGCTCCAGAACTGCAGTCTTACACAACTTTAAGTTTGTAGACAGTTTAAAAACTACAAGTCTCCATACCTTCCTCCACAAGACTACTAGGTTCCAATCTGCTAGTACAACCACTGAACACAGCAACTGTGTTGTGACTCCTCACAAGCATGGACAATGTGCTCTTCCTCTGACTCACTCACACTACTTAGCTGTGATGCTGTGTATGCTTTAGTATCACATGAATGTCTTATTAGCTATCTTACTAGGATCAACTGTTCATGGTTGGCTTGTGATTAAGTATTTGAACAGTTGAGACAGTCTTATCTTGAATTTCAGAGAACCCTTTTGTCATGAAGATGCCAGCTGAAAGATGGGCAGAACACTAGCTGAGGAGTAAGACAAGCTTTACATCAAATACAAGCACTCAATACAGACATCCACATCTCATTTTTCTGCTTTCAGCAGAGAACAATATATTATTGCATCCAAGAAATTTCCTTCATGTCTTTTTGCTGCTAGAAAAAAAACCCTGTAAAATCTCTATTTTGAGAAGTGCAGTATTCTAGCATGATAAATTCTGTAAGATTTCTAAGCATCTAATGGCCAGTATATACCAGCTCACGCTGAAGTATGTACAAAAGTAAGAGCCATGTAGGTGTTATGTAGCAAAGTTAATTGGTCAACACTTACATTGGATCATCTTCAAGTAGTTGGAAGGGTAGGTCTTGCAGTTAAATGGTTTCTAGGAGTGGGGATTACTTATAAATTGAAGTGGAACTGGCAGAATTCACTGTCTCTGCATTTAATAAGTAAAGATTCACTATGAAGCTGTTTAAGCTTTCTGGGTTTTGTTTTGCACTATACAAAAAATAGCTTTTTATGCAGTCATATTCAGTGCTTCCAGTAATACAGCATTTACCTCCTAAGCATACCCATTGATCAGACACAAAATCATAAGTTACCAATTTAACAAAAACCTACTTTAAATACTTATTTTAAAAGAACAAAGCCAGGAATAAAACAAAAATGCAGTAATAGCCACTGTTAAAACACAAGCTATCTAATTCTTGCAAGAGATGCTTTTAGTCATTACAGGAAGATTTGACAGCAAGCCAAGTCTGTCCTGTATTAGGATATAATGCCTGACACTGTAGTAAGATGGAAAGCAAGAGAATGAATATTAGAAGTAGAAAAAAACAGCAATTCATGCTAAACCAGTGATAAGGAAGACTCAGCAAAACCAGTAACATAGTTAACGCTCAATTTTTTTTATATTTACTTAACTAGGCACCAGTGCATTTTGTATCTAGATTCAAGTTTCTAAATAGCCATTCTTTCTCAGAATAAGGTGATTGTATTAAAATTCTGTTGCTGATGGCACTGCTTCTAAACAGAGCAGATGCGTTAATATTGGTATCAAATATGTTGCCCTTCCAAGAGGAGTATTTAAAGGTTGATTAGAAAAATGTGACCAGCTGAGCATTTAAGATATTAACAGCATCACAAAAACCCTTTTATACCTACTTATGTGTTCTAGGACTTTACCTTTTTTCCTTCGGAGTTGAGGGCACCAGGCAGCCCCTGCTCCCCACAGCACCATCCTGTAGTGTTGATCTCTCTCCTGTTCCACTGTTAGAATAATTTTTCTCTGGTTGCCACCTCTGTAGCTATACACAGATTCTGAAAAAGTTGGAAATGTTATGACTTCTACAATAAAAAGCATAAACACAAAAAACCCACATGCCTCAATACCAAATAAAATCAGTAATCAGTACAATTATAAGCAAACAAGAACACACCTACAGTCTCTTCAGGAAGCAATGAAAGCAAACCGATTTCTTCAGCAACATGAATCTAGTTTGAAGGAATGCATAAAGTACATTAGTTTACCTTTATCCACCTAAACACTCAGCAACAGAGCACCTCCCTTTGAAACAGTAGGTATCTGAGCATCTTTCAGCTCACACTCATCCTGACTGGCATAAGTGGAAAGAAATTGTACTCAATCTCTCAGCAGACTGTCATAATCAGAAGTTAACGTTCCTGTAACTTCTGTGGAATACACTGGAACATATCCCTAGAAGTTTTCACATAAAAGAAAACTAGAGTCATGTACAGCACACTAAGGATTAATAAGAGTACATATAAACTAAAACACTTAGGATCTCTACAGCACTCTTACCCAGGACATTGCCTGTAAGTTTCTTCTACACTAAAGCTACAATATTTTTCATTAAAAAAATTTTTGCACAAGAATTCTTACTTTAAAATATCTAACAGTTCTGAAATTTATGTACAATAATCACTCATGAAGATTTTGATCTTCAAAATTCCCCAGGTATAATGAATAAACATTATATTGACAGTGTGTGTAAAAAATTGAATCTTACTAATAGAAGATAGTCCAATATGATCAAATCTATATGCAAAGCTTGAAGTCAAGCACGGAGAAACAGTAATACCATAAAGAAAACATAATAAGGACAGTTATGCAGAGAAAACAGAGGTAGACTCCTTTTCCAGGTGGAAACAGCAGTTGAACTGCCCAAAGTGTGTTAAAAACACATGGCAAGACACTGCATGAAATACTGAACATATGTCAAGATAACTAGGTTTTGTTCACTACAGAAGGTGGAGAAGATGCTAGGAATCAGCTGTAAGGCCTCATTATGAAGAAATAGAAAAAAATTATCAACTTAAATATGAAAAACTGCCTCAGCAAAAGGAGTCCTGAACTAATAGCATTCACTATTAGAAGAAAAAGTAATGTGTAACAGAAGAATAAACTCAAAAATCAGTATATGAACTATTGACCATGATTCTTTAGGTGAGAGGAGTCTTTATAATAAAAATACACAGGAAATAGACAGGATTTCCAAAATAAATTACATTAATACTACACCTTAGCAGTGCCACACTGTGCATTTTCCAGCATTAGAAAATCAAAAAGAGCTTGTTCAAAGGCACACAAGTAATATAAAGAAATATTGCATTTAAGAAAGCAGAAATGCTCAGCTTTAAACATCTGTTTAAGTGGGGAAAAAATAAAAATAATTGAAGTGTTCCAGATAAAACACGAGAAAAAAAAAAAATCACAGTTCCATTAGAGAATAAGGAAGGCAAGCAAATCCTAAAACATCAGATTAAAATAGCTTATTCTGAAAATCATGATTTATAGTGCAAACATTTGCCTTTAATGGCACAATGCTTACACAGAAGGCAGTTTGCAGGTGAGCTTTGAATTAGTAAAGCTTGACTGTCCCACATGGCATCTTCATGAACAGTCTCCCTTTCTCAAGCAGTGGTCTACAGCAAGAATGTACCTATCAAGAGCCATTCAAAACACATTTTTAGGTTTTGCTTGTGAATTCAAATGTCAAATGCTGGCGTATAGAAAGGAAAATAAATAGTATTCCTGCAAGGCAATTCTGGTTAAGTTTTACCTATTGCTGAGGTTTTGAAGTTGAAGCCCAGTGCATGAACTCACCTGTTAATACAGCAATGTCGATGATTTTCACAATGGAGTGAACCAACATATTTGGCTGGAGCTGGTCTAGCTGCATATACTGAACACTATCCAGTCTCTGAACCGGTCTTCGTGGAATGTCTCCGAAGTGTGGAAATTCCGATGACATGTATGCCAGTAGGCCATGGAGAACACCACTATCCACTATAGGATAAACTTGTACGAAAAAAGCAGAGTTAAGGGACACCTTTTCAGTTTTTAAGCTTATAAATAAATTTGACTGGTAGATATTTATACTGAGAAAACCAAAATGCTTGCACAATGATTGTCAGGCAAGAAATTATTGAGATTTACAGTTTAATTTTGGATCAAATGTTATGCTTGATCTGCCTCCTCCTAATAACATCTCAAAGCTAAGTACAGTATTTTAAATTACAGTAAACATAGGAATGAAAACTGGTATCAGCTTTGTAAGAATAGCTGTTCCTGATCATTTAGTGCAGAACCTGCCTTAAGTAGCAGGCAATAATGGACATCAGAAAGACATTAAGAACAACACAAGTTCACTGATACTTCCACTGTATTTCCCATAGTCCCAAACCCTCCACAGCTTGGGGATCTTTAAAGTTTTTTTGCTTAATAGCCTGCAATGAATTACTTCCCCCTGAAAGGATCTACTTACTCTATAAGCCTCAAATTTTTGCAAAAAAAAAAATCTCATGAAGTTTCAGACACCTTACGGCTGATTCCTGGGATAAGTGCCATTTCTTAAACTAAGCTCCAAAAAATTCAGTTTTTCCAGAGTTCAGAGTTGTGAATGGCAACCACCCAACTTCACCATAAGCTCCAGATGCCTGACATCATCAGGTCCACATTTTGTCCACAGGTGTTCCTGTCACTTTCCTACTGTTTTGTACCTCTCAGTTGCTCACATTTCCATTTTATCAGTGTATGAGGCACTGTCAACAAAGTACAGTACTTTTTATAAAGCTATTTTACTGTGATTTTTGTGGAAACTTAAGCACTATAACCTTACATTCTTCTGGATTGAGCGCCAAACAGTTGCCCAGATTCAGTAACTGACTGGTAAATGTAGACTGCAGCATAATTTCTCCACACCAAAGGTTCTCATACATTACTACATCTGCAAGAAAAAAAAGCAACCTTACCAACTCACATAATATTTAAGTGTATCACACTTTTCTTGACTACAGAATACATACCAGTGTAAGAGACAGCTTGAAAGAGATCAGTTGGAAACAAAGTGGTTTTTATAGCATTCTGTTACACAAAATTTGTTCTCTTAAAGAGAGAAGGGTTTGCTCCTGTTATGCTTTAAAGAGTACAAAGGATTTACCTGGAGGAATCTTCATTATTAGCTGACATGTTATAAAAACAGGCAAACTGCAAACAGTGGTTTATATTTCTGCTGACTATGTCAGTTGCTAATTCATAAAAACTCATCAAGACAATAGTGCTAAGCTACAAAGTCCTTCACAGGAGGAAAAGTATTTCTCACCCTGAGACTGAACATAACATCACAATTTTCAGGTCCATCTGCTGGTCCAGCAGCAGCAGAGAATTACAAAGAGTCTATAAATCAAGTAACTATCTGGTTTGCAGTAGCACTCATACCTTTCAGGAAGAACTGTTTTCAAAACACTGACAGGTTTCAGGACACACCTGACTACCTTATGGCACTGCCCTTGTGTCAACGCACTGCTGTCTCAGACCTAAGACCTAACAGATGGACAAACCTGTGTGGGCAGCCAGTGTTCTAACAGCAGGATGCCTGAGAATTCAGAGAGATGTTGAGCCATGTAAGAAAGATACATACAAATGCTCAGCCCCAGCTCCAAATTACTGGTTACATGCTGTTCTGCTTTCAACAGGCATTTTCGAGATCCACATTTCAAAAAGGCAAATCAAGGAATTCTTACCTGTAAGCAGTGCAATATCCCCAGGAAACACTGTGAGTGACCAAAACGCAGCACCACGCCACAGCACCACCTTCCTCTCAACTTCTGACTGGTCCGTAACTACAACTGTTGCTACAGGAACTTTACATGAAAACTTTGGTCTAGTCTTCACTTGTATTTCTTTGATATGACAAGGATGTACTATTGTGACCAAAACATTGTACTTTTGATTTTTGCAGCAGCAATCCTTGAGGGGTGATAGCTTCTTCTGAAGTTTTTTGAACTCTGTTAGCCTCTCTTGATCCACTCTCATCCCAGGACCAGCTGGAGAAGAATTCAGTTTAACTCTCTTGGATTTCAGCTGTCCTTTAAACACTGAGTGACAAGTACGAATGGATCCTTCACCTCTGTGGGCTCTTTTAGAAGAACTCTTATGAGAGCTGTCTACCTGAGAGCACAATATTCCTGAGCTCAACAGTTCAATATGGATTTCATTCACAAATTGCTCTGCAGGAACATTAAGTTCTTTAGACTTTCCTGTATCTTCCTGATCACTTCCTTCTTGTTTTGTGACTCCAAAGCAAACATTTTTCTCCTCACCTTCAGAACTGAAAAGTTCAAGGGAACTTGTATACTCTTCCTTACATTTGTTTTCATCTAGATTAAGACATGTTCCAACATCAGAATTAGATTGGATGCGATTATACGGCCTTTCTTCAGTTTTTTTGCCTGCTTCCATTTCTGATAGTTTCATGATTCTTCTCTGGATCTCACTGTGATCCCGTGCAAAAACAGCCATCTGACTTGAAGTCATTATACTACGGAATTCAGTATCTGTTGACACTGCAAAGTCTGAACAATCACTTGGTTCTTCTTTTGGTTTTGACTCTTGATTTTGGGGGAAAAACATATCAAGATATCGACTTAAATGTTCATGGTGATCACATCTATGATCTGACTGAACACCTTGTCCCACAGACCTTAGATGTATGCTGATCTGCTCAGTACTGGCAACCAAATCAGAAATGTCAGAGTTGTTAGCTTCAAAGCGACCGTCTTGTCTTCCAGCAAGGTTTGAACAACAGCCATGTGATGGTTTATCTTGCCTACCTGACACTGTGACTTTCTCTGTACAGTGTTGATCTGCAGTCTGGTTTACATTTGCGTGTGTGCATCTATCTTTAGATATTTGACATTCAGAGTAAGTTAAGTTTTCGGTCTTTTTAGGTGTGCTGGTACAAGTTACTGCCACAGGTACAAGAGATGTCAAATATTCCTTTGCTACCATTAATCTCCCCTGTTCCAACTGCTGAGAGCTGTCATCACTTGTAGGAACTGCTGTGACCACAGAGCTTTCTGCCTGAAACATGAAGTGGTCAGCACCTTTTACTTTTCCAGAAAAAAGACTATGAGTATCACACAAACAGCGGAGTTCCCTCCATTTTTCAGCAGCAGGTGCTGAACTGCTTTGCACTGACACCTCCAGGGGGCCAGGAATACTGGGTGCTCCAACAAAAATGTGAATTTGAGGTCTTTTGGACATTTTTTGATTGTTGTTTAAGTTTGACTTTAAACAATCAGGTATGTGCAATAAAAACAATAAATATTAGTAAATGTAAAAAAATATATTTGGCCTTTTCTTAACCACTTTAAAGTAACTAAAATGCAGAGGAGTATTTCATAATTTAACTGGTAAAACACTCCTTAAGTACTTAGCTTCCTTTTTTACCTTAAATTTTATAGGATTTATCTATTGCATCAAACTTACATAAGAAAATAAATTCAGAGTATGGCTTAATTGCTGATTCTGATACTTGGAAACACATATCAGATGCAAAATAGTACTGAAGCTCAATTTAATTATTGAAAAGACTTATCTTCATTTATTATTGCTAATTAAACAGTCAAATGTGAATTCAGTGTTCAGTACTTCATTTTATTTCATGTGAAATAAGTGCCTGTAGAGCTTGCACAGAATGGTTAGGAGAATCTCCTAGAAAATTACAATTTTAACTAAATGATTAAAAGTACCAGAGCTACTTAATTAGTTTAAAAGTTGACTAGAAATGGAATATTTTACACACTGTTTTAGCATGAAAATACTGCGTTAAGTGATTATTTTATGAAATGGTAGGCTTTAGGATATCACTGATAAAATTATTTATCAAACACTAAGGAGGTAGTGAAACTTGAGCAGATGATTTAGAATTTGCTTTAATTTATGAAGTATCATACTACTCAAGAAGTTACTAGCTTTCCTAGCTGATTAAAAATAAGCCCACCTTACACAGCATACAGCCAGAAGACCCTTTTTTAAAATATCTGCTACACTACAATTTTAAAAAACTCAACTACACATGTTCATTAAAATGCAGACACTTAGCTACATGTTTTGGGAGTGTTGCCAATACAAGTTGGTGCAATAGGGAATTCTGCAGAGGTAGGAAGCAGACCACCAGAAATGAAATTTGAGAGCTAATCCAGCTGCAAACAGGAAAAAAAAAGAGCATTAAAATAAATACAGCACTGCAAAAGACTTAAATTTTTCACTTACTAAATTAACAGCCATTTGCCTAACCCCCCACTAGGGGTCGATATATCTGCACATTCATAAGGCTCATAGTAGCATGGAAAAACCATAAACATCCTGGCAAACTGATCTCTGGCATATTACAGATGTAAGCGGAAAAACAACATACAACAACTAAAATTAGATCTATCACGTAATAATACAAAGCAGCTGCAAAACACAGTAACCTGTATCACTCAGTTTTATGCCCACTGGAAAACAAATACTTTAAAAGATCGGATATTCCAAACTTCTGCAGTTGTACATTTAAATTTAGGCTCATAAGACAACTTTTGAAGGACAAGTCCCATACTTCCCAAAGTTTACATTACAGAACTGAAGAATGACAACATACAAATAACTAAAAAGAACAGATTTACAGTTCAACATTAAAATAATAGATCAGGTATGAAGAGAAAGACAGGGCAAAGTGCCAGTGAGGCTGAATCCCTAAAGAACAGACATTAACAAGTTCTGTAGATAAAAATAGCTTCCCAAAACATGGTGTAAAAAAACTTTAGGAACAGATTCCCTGTGACAAACAGAATTCTATCACTACTTCAAAAATTAACTTTAGAAGTGTACCCTAGCTGATGAGATGGAATTATTTCAGTCCACTTGCAGCTTTTTTCATTTATTATCTTGGTTACAGCCATTACAGATGGGTTAATTATGTACTACAGTATAATATAAATGCCTCCTAATAAAGAGGCTCAAATGGAGCAAATGTTAAAATCATTCACAAAAGGTTTCTTCCACATAGGTGCTATAGTAGAAAAGAGGTTGAACAGCACAATTCTGACACAAGCCCATTCCATGCTATTTCTAAAGAACTTGCATGTCATGCAGAGATTTATGGAATAATCAGTCATTTCCAAACTGGGTTTTGGTACAGCAAGTAGCTCTTTTACTTCAATCTTTACATTCTACATAGGCTGAACACCCATCAGTCACACGTATAAGACACCACCTTAATCCAGTCTGACTATCTTGGTGCAAAAATTCAGGTACATGTGCATCAAGCTTCAGGGAGATAGGAATCCTAAGTGAACTAAAATATGTTCAGGGCAAAATAATTTGCTTGCCTGTTTTCTATATCCCCAGAGTAAGCTTATAACAAACAATTCTAAGTTTTCTTATAAGGAAAGACTGAGATTCAACAACACTGTAAGTGAGCCCGTTGAATACTTCAGTTCAGGAAAGGCGATTTGGTTGCTGAACAGATGAGCACATTCCAACAGTATGTTTAGGGAACAGCATACAACCTGGAGTTGCAAGACCTTTCAGACTTTTGTACTCACAGAAAAGTTGCTGTTTAAGATGCCATAGTATAAAGTACTCAAAATGAAAAAGTAAAAAACTCAAGTGTCCTAGACTACTTCATATAAACATAATGCAGGGCTTCACATACTGTACTAGAGAAAATTTTAGCACTTAAAACCATAAAAAGGTAACAAAGGAAAGCCTTTAGGTAACTATATACTTCATAGGCTATACATACCTTTTCAATATGTGAGGTTCAGTGTAAAAGTTTAAGATCCTAGAAATGCAGTTGTATTTCACTCTACTTCCAGAGATATCCTGTATCATATTTCAATTGTATTCTTCCTATAATTAGGGTTGAAAAATGAATTAATCAGTTAAAAGGAGAAATATCACTCAAGTATCATGTTCAAGCATGTGGGTTGTTTGTAACTCTGTCTACTTCCCATATTAAACCCACAGAAGAAGCTTTGTTTCTAATTCCCAAGCATTACCATATTACTTTTAATTAAAAGCTTTACAAATCAATGAAAACAAAATGTAAACCTATTTGCATCCCTACGGCCATAGACTGTCTTCTCCACATATATATACACACCAACTCTTTATGTGGACTCTGAATTAGACAAAGCTGTTACCTCGGCATACTTGTGGTCTTCAAAAATAAAAAAACTAAATGGATTTTATATCATTGAGATCCAACTGGATGAATAACTCTTACATGAAGATAAGATTCTTGTGGCAAACAGTGCTTTAGTTTTAGATTTAAATAAGGGAAAATAGAAGAAATAGAAAGATACAATTACATCAGATTTATGTCTAATGATTTCAATTTGTTATGGATTAGTTTTGTGGTTTGCTCTAAGTAGTTTTGTTCGCATTACAAAATTAAGTAGTATATGTGTAAGAATCAATATGACAAAAAAGTAGTTACATATCTTTACATCTCTGGTAAAGGAAGTACAGATACATCATAAGACTAATGAAATAACTAATCTTTTTACACCTACATTTATAAATACACACTAAGATCTGTGACTAACATTAAGGACTACTTCGAAAATACATTTGTAGACAAGTACCTCAGTATTTGCTTTTATAAGCACATCTTATACCTAGATAGCACTGACATGACAACAATAGGACAAATTAATGGTGCCTTAATTACTACAGTACTAAAACCCCACCAACAACGGAAGTGAGCTACTGATCACATAAATGAACCCAACATCATTATCTACTACTACATATATATAGGAACATACATATAGCTTCTTTAGAATAGTATTACTTATTTAAGAACTTGTTAGTGAAATTCTGTGCCTTGTTTTACTAAGTCTGAAAGAACAACTCATTACAGATCTTAAAAAGCATCTTAAAAGATATCTTAAAATCAGAGCAAAAACTATCATATTAGCAGAATACCACTGCCAGCAAACAAATACATTTCACAAATGCACTGTGAAGACAATTAACTCTGTCCTGACTAAAGCCAGCACAATACTGCAGTTAGATTATCTGTGAGGAGACAGGGGGTTAACTACACCAAAGATAACAGGAGCTAAAGCTCATAAAGATATAACTGAAACCTGAATGCACATATCCATTATACCTGTTAATTATTACACCATATTCATAAGAGCCAATGAAAGCCTAGCTTTTTATCTCTGAAATGGTCAGAGTCTGATTGACGGGTCAATGATCTATTAAAAACAGTCACTACATCAGCAAGTTTTACATTTGCTAAACACTGCAACTAAAGTTAAATATACCTACTACAAGAACTACACTATGTAGTGTAATATATTTCCCCCAACTTAAACAGTAAGGCAAGAATTCTAAATTTAAAGGGTTTTAAAATGAAGAAGTCATTAACAGTGTGTTAATTACTAGCAGTTTGCTACACATTGGACAATTAAAAGTAGCTTTAAAAATCCTCTAATAGTTAAATACTCCAGGAACCTTGAGTGATGCTACATACATGGCCTTAAGTTACCCTTAAAATACCTTAGTAGCATTAATGACTTTTAGTGTGTATTTCACCATTCATTAGTAGTATTCACTCACCATGATATTCACCTAGGCCAAGGTAATTTAAAGGGGATGACACAGCTTCAGCTTCCTATCACTTCTGAATGTTAATGGTAGTTATAAGCCTAAACCCTCATTCTTTAAAACTTAACCCAAATACAGTTTCAAGTCTCTACTTAAGCCCTATAGACTGAAAGTAAACCACACTAATTCCACCTCTGGGTGACAGTTTATGTCTGTCACACACTACAGCTTCAAGCCAAATAAAAATAACAGAAAACCAGACAACACATCAGAAGAGAAAGGATTAGAGCTATATAATGCCAAAGTACAGCTTCTTTTCCTCCTCCAGAACTCTCATACACTCCCCAACACTTAGGTTTTTTTAGGTTAAAACCAATACATTCATTTAATCTGCAGCTTTGTTTCACACAGCTTAATGATGAAAGTCCTAACCTAACATCAGGTAGTTAACTTCACTTCTACAACATGCTTAAGTAATGATATTGTCCTTTACCTGCTGAAACACTGGCCCTGTAGATGAAGAGTATCCTACTTTATGTATTGGTTAAATTCTAAATTTTAACTTCCACCGTGAGCTTTCCCTTCCCTCATTTGCACACTTGATTTTACACATCTAACTGTAGTAGAAGCAAAATTAAATAACTGTTTCACTGACC